ACAAACCGTTTCAGCCCCTTGGTGGTGAGGGAGCGCCCGCCTCAGCGCACGGCCGGCTGCTGCAGCAGCACCAGGGCTGCTGCCTACGGTGCTTCCAGCCCGCTGCCTTCCCCTCCTGGGCTTCGCAACCTGCAACCAGAGGCTGCTGCTCGTTTCAGGGTAGCTTTAGAGCAGACGAGCCATCTCAAAGGCACTGCCAGGCTGGTGGCCATCATGTGCCAGCAGCCAGAAGACCCTCTTTGTGCTGCTAAAGCCGCATCGTGACTGCTTGTCCCCGCAGCAAACGCTCTTGTGCTGCGCCTCCGATGGGAAACGTCTCTGGGAGACGGACAGACTGCGGCTCTTAATGTCAGCTCGTTACGAGTTCAAGCTCCTTAGCAGTGCATGAAAATATGGGCTTCAGCCATGACCAGTAGGTATTTCAGATCCTTGTATCCCTTGTTGTGCTGGGTGGGTTTTCGTGCCCCGTCAGGAAGTGGTTGCATAGAGGACTTTGGAATACATTTTGTGCTCTGTTTTACTGCTCCAAATTAAAAAAAAAACAAAAACAACAAAACAAAAGAAAACAAAACAAACTGAGCTGAAGTCTAGCAGTGAGCAGGAGGGAGGGTCTTTATCACCTCCTGCTCAGTGATTTCACAGGTGCTCAGAGGGCTGCCAGGATCACATCATCCCCCAAACACAAACCGTTGGTTGCACCCATCCCCTCCCCGGCAAGGGAGAGGCAGGAGTTACAATTTCCACGTTTGGGGGAAAACAATACTCAAAAAACTCCTTGCTCCTGCAGCATGGCTGGGGAGGGAGCGCAGGGAAGTCTGGCTGGCAGCAGTGAGGGGGAAGCACTGGAGAGAGCAGACCTGGGGGGCTGAGCGCACCATGGGAGAGACTGGAGGGCAGCAGTGGGGAGGAGAAACGTCTGCAAGTCCCCGGAGAGGTACCCGAGGGAGCCCTGCCCGGCAGAGGCGTGAGGACTTCCAGCCTCCTCCAACTCGGGGGAGAGGTCTCACCGCCCTGTGAGAAGAGGCGCCTGCACACATCTCCCTGTGCAGCACCGAAAATAAGCCGAAGACAGCCTACAGAGCGTTCCTGCCGAAACACAGTCACCTATGGATAGGACTGGGCACGCCACCGCTCCTGCAGGTAGCAGGGACATCAGCATCCACCTCTTTTTAATTTAAGAACTTTCCTGTTTTCTACAGGAAAATTAAGCCCAGGCACACCCTGTTTGCGGAACTCCTCGTTACAACCGGTCCCACCGGCAGGACTCCAGATGAGACCTCCTGCCTCTTTGCCAGCACTGCTGAAGAGCACCAGGAAGGCAGAGCCCCTCGGGCTCCAACCATGCGCCTTTCTAATGCTGATCTAGCGTATTTTTAAGACATAGTTTGGATAGTGCTATTTAGCAAACACCCATAATTACAGCAATGAAAAAAAGCCTGCAAGAGGAGAGGATGGCCATGCCATCCTTTAACACACTTTATGTGTTAAAGTGAAAGGTGTTACGTGAACACTTGCAGTGCATGAAACACCTCCTCTCCCGTTTCCTGGAAAACACTGAAAGCAAAAACCTGAGACCATTTCTTTAAACTCTGGTTTTCCACGCAGACCAGAGGGGAATTCCTCTACTGGTGCTGCTGGGAGGGACAGGACAGGGCAGGACAGCAGCGCTGGGACCAACATACAGTCACGCCGAGCATCGCTAGGCACCCACAGTAATGCCTGGTTACATCTCATCGGCTGCCAGCCTGGTGCGTACCCAGAAGCGGTGCCCTGGTTGGGGAGCTTTCCTGTGCTTGACATCTATTTCACTCCCAAATGCCCCTGACTCCCAGCTGCCACAGCTGTCCTTCCATCTCCCACTGCAAATTTTGTGAAAGCAGGTAGTTACACACCACATCCTGAACGGCTTACGAGTGCCCGAGCAATGCTGAAGCCCTTCATAAGCCAGAACTCCTATTGACCTGGGTTTTTTCCCCAGGGGAGAACATCAAGACAGGAGCTTGCATTTTAGCTTTGGCATTCAAAATTCTGACCACTCTGCAGCCACGGGTCTGCAAAAGGCATCTGCTAAACACAGATACCTGTGAGAGTGAGGGCAATGCCCTAAAATCACGTTCAAGACTGGTTTCTGCACTGAGCAGTGTTTTAAATGACCGATCCTTGTAAGAGAGCTACAAGAGTAAGGATGAAGTGTGTGGCCCACACACAAACAACCTTTTCCAGGTCTCAGCAAATCTGCTGGGAGTAGGGCAGAGTGCAGCCAGCAAATGTATTAAATGTATTTTATTCCTGTCAAACAGAGGAGTATAATAACAAGGACAACACTAAGCTGTCGCCACCACTTGCAAAGGAAAACTGGGACAAAGCATATATTGATCTATGCTCTCTAAATATGCAGGTGTGTTTATTTATATTCCACTTAGGGAGAAAAAGTGAAGCGCACACAATTATGAATATTTCTGAACAACCATCACAGCAGGCTGTTCAAAGTACATGCATGCTGGTGTCACATGGAAAGCCAAAGCCTGGCCTCCACTAAATTGGGTGAAATCACTGCTCCTAAGATCAAAATCCTGCCTACAACTCCTAATCATTCCCATCGGGAGCGTGCATTCGTGGTATCGAACAGCCTTGCTCTGTTCTAAATTATGCAAAAAGTATCCCATGATTTAATACCCAATGCACCCATCAGAAAGAGGAATACTGAGCCATGTCAAACTCTTCCCGTGTGTGGGATGGCTGGAGAGGGCTTTCCACCCAGACCACGCCGCTTACAATTAAGCCGTATCCCCAGCGTGGCACGTTGTGCTCAGCTCCCACTACGGATCCGACTCACAGGCGTGCCAGCAAGAAGGGGCCTCTGCAATGGGACTCACTGGGTATTTTATCCCCACTGAAACACATTTAGAAAATCCCAGCTTTTTCCAAGAGGTCCCCAACACATGTCAGCCGTGACAACCCCAGAAGCCGAGCAGCTGTCTGCTGCTGGCAAGGAGCTGCTGGCATTGCAGTGCTTCACTGCTGCTTTTGATGGAGAAATCCTTTAAAATAGACTCATTTTCTATTTCTGTTGGTAGTTTCATGCACAGACATGCCAGCAGATGTTCCCTAC